AGTCTCTCTACACAGTTTTAAACACTCTTCATGCATCTCTAGAACTTGCAATTAATCAAATTCATTGTATTCGAACAAATTCTAACCCCAAACAACCCTAGATAAGTCATTTAGTGGTTCAACGCAATGTTTCCTAGTTCTTAGCCCATTAAGGACCTAATTTCAACAAGTCATTCTCCATACTTCGAAACACTCTTCATGCACCTATAGCACTTGTAATTAATCAAATTTATTGTATTCTAACATATTCTAACCCCAAACAACATTAGCCAAGCCATTTAATTATTCAAAGCAATGGTTGTGGGTTCTTTTCTATCACTTGTAATCAATCAACTTGATTGTATTCTAACCAATTCTAACCCCAAATAAAACTAAATAAGTCATTTAGTGGTTCAACGCAATGTTTCTGAGTTATTAGCCCATTTGGGATCCAATTTCAACAAGTCTTTCTCCACACTTCGAAACACTCTTCATGCACCTATAGCACTTGTAATTAATCAAATTTATTGTATTCGAACATATTATAACCCCAAACAACATTAGACAAGCCATTTAATTATTCAAAGCAATGGTTGTGGGTTCTTAGCCCATTTTGGACCAAATTTCAGCAAGTCTCTCTACACACTTTTAAAAACTCTTCATGTATCTCTAGCACTTGTAATCAATCAACTTGATTGTATTCTAACAAATTCTAATTCCAAATAACACTAGATAAGTCATTTAGTGGTTCAACGCAATGTTTCCTAGTTCTTAGCCCATTAAGGACCTAATTTCAACAAGTCTTTCTCCACACTTCTAAACACTCTTCATGCACCTCTAGCACTTGTAATTAATCAAATTTATTGTATTCTAACATATTCTAACCCCAAACAACATTAGCCAAGCCATTTAATTCTTCAAAGCAATGGTTGTGGGTTCTTAGCCCATTTTGGACCAAATTTCAGCAAGTCTTCCTACACACTTTTAAACACTCTTTATCTATCTCTATTCTTTATAATCAATCAACTTCATTGTATTCTAACATATTCTAACCGCAAAAAACACTAGATAAGTCATTTAGTGGTTCAACGCAATGTTTCCTAGTTCTTAGCCCATTAAGGACCTAATTTCAACAAGTCTTTCTCCACACTTCTAAACACTCTTCATGCACCTCTAGCACTTGTAATTAATCAAATTTATTGTATTCTAACATATTCTAACCCAAAACAACACTATACAAGCCATTTAATGCTTCAAAGCAATGGTTGTGGGTTCAGCAAGTCTCTCTACACACTTTTAATCACTCTTCATGCATGTCTAGCACTTGCAATC